GCCGGCCTCGGTGGTTGGTGTCCCCCGCGCTCCTGAAGCCGCCCTGCTCTATTAAAGAGTTTGGGAGAACGTCTGGTATCCCTGTAGGAATTGCTTCTGGTTGTCTCACCTGGCTATCAGAAGTTCACGGTGGTAGCCCAGCGCTGAAAGAGCGAGCTGAGGCTCGCAGGGAGAGCGGCCGAGCAGTCGCACGGCGTTAAACGAACCGTACTGGGAACCTGCTCGCCGGTAGCGTTGATACCGCGTGTTAATCGTGCTAAATAAAGAAAACGAGTTTCGAAACTTTTAACGTGCTTTATCATTTATAGTGTCGTGCGTGGTGGCTACCAGTTGTTTTTTTTTTCCTAACCATTAACTTTCACTAGTAGCTGCACAATATGTCTCATAGTAACAGTTGCTGTTCAGATTGACTTTGAAAAAGTAGAGAGAAGACAGAGTTTTGCCCCTAATTAAAGTACAGAGGGCTGAAATCCTCCTTTTAGCGTTGCTAATGCTTGTAATCTCTCCAGGTAAAAGAAATTTCAGTTAACCTTTATTTGCACAGGGTGCGTTAACTCAGGTTACCTTGAAGGAAATGCTTGCACTTACTCTGGGTCATTTTACTGCTCTAAGATGTTAGAAATGTTTGGGAGGAGGATTTTCTTCTCTATTTTAAGGATTGATGCACCAGCTCCGAAAAAGTGACTGTGGTGATGGTGTGCAGTTTCCCTGTTTGTAGTGACAGTATAAATATTAATATATTCAGATGTATGTAATGGCAAATAACAACAAAATCTTGATGTTAAGTCGCCAGCGAGGTGCATATATCCTGCATGCTTCAGAACAGATCTTGGCTTCTTTCTGCAGCAGGAAGCTGTACAGAAGACAGTCTGATGAGAGAGGCATTCCAGTTTGAAGTACTGCAAACACAGCATGAAGAAATTAAACAGAAGGTTAGCAACACCCTCCCCTTCCCTCTAAATATCACATTTTTTGATGGGGCTAACTGAAAGGTGGGATTAAGCTCGGTTCCAAGTATTTCATTCTAATCAAGTTGATGAGTAAGTTTTGAAATCAATGCATCTATTAGAAGCATTGTACTAGAAACAGCACTCTTAAGAGCGTTTTATTTCTTGGTCGTTTCAGATTAGCAAATGCTAATTTGTCAGGTTTACTTGTTTCCTGTCTTGTTTCCATTCTCTGTCCTGTCAGCTGGTCAGCAAGAGTGCTTTTGTGTAACTTAAGTGACTTTTAAGCTGTGTTATGGTTCTTTACCTTCTGATGATCCCCTATGGTAAGATACGATGGAGAAGAAATAGATGTGGAAAAGGAAGAAGGTACGAATGCCTGTACCAAGTCCGTCCTTTTTTGGGCAGACAGCTTAGGAAGAATATAAGACCCAAGCAAGTTTATGGTGATATTTTACCACAGAACAGTCTTTTAGCCTCTGGTAAAATTTCATATAGGTGCTTCCTGATCCAGAAATATTTCACGTATATTTAATATTCTGTAGTGTATTTTTTTAAACACTTTTGTGGTTGGGTTTGGATGCCTTTAGCATGAAAGAGGTCCGCAGCTTAACAACACATTGTGTCAGGAAACTTCTTTGATTTTATTTTGAACTTTGCACCTAGTGGTTTTCAGTGGATGGGTCCTGGCTGTTACGAGAGGCAGTAAACAAGGAATAACTTGTGCATAGCACTCGCACCTTGATAGACCTTTTTCCTCACAGTTGTGCTTTCTCCCAGATGGGAGAGGCCACTCTATTTACCTTTGTCTCGTCACCCTTACCTCTGTTCTCGGAATCCTTCCCAGCTCTATTATATCCTTCTTTATTGGGGAAGCTCCTACCCGTACACCATGTTCGACATGGGGGTAAGATGTAATTTTACATAGTGGTCTAGAGGTGTCTTTCTGCTTTTTTCTCCATGCTTTTCTGAATAACTCGTTCTATAATCTCTCAAAAGTCTTGTCTCAGTAGTGGTGGCTGTTCAGAGAGTATTAGAAACTGCATATGTCGTGAAGATACGGTCTGGGGGTGGTAGCTTGTCTTAGGACAGCGTGCTTGTTGGCTGATGATTATAATGAAATACTATAATTAAATTATCATTGTTATCATCCAAACAATGAATAAATTATTGATATGCGTGACTAGAATTTTCAAAGAAAGACCATAGTCACAGAGAAGGGGGAAAAAGAAGAATGGTCTCTGGCAGATGCCAGGGTGGTCTGTGAAGACGTGTCTTTGCTGTCGTTTTATAATTCTGTTAGAGAAAACAGTAGCTGAGCCTGATTTATTCAGAAAAAGATTAGAAGCAACATTGCAGAATTTCTGAACTGGTTTACAAGAGCATTTTTCTCCTTAGAAAGTGTAAATATACATAATTTTCAACCACATGATGATATAAATGCATACTTTTGGTTATATACATCCTTTAATGGAATTAAATCTGTTTGCAGCTGAAAGAAATGCAGGATGAAATTCTTACTAAAAATGGAGAAATTAAAATTTTGCGTGACTCAATGCAGCAGATGGAATATGCTATGGAGGAACAGAAGCGATCATACATACTGTTGGAACAGCAAAAATCTCAGACCTTAAGTGAAAAAGAAAAAGAGTTCTCCAAAAAGGTTTGTAACTACATCAGTTACCTGCACATCACATGCATAAGATAATTTTCTGACTTAATGATGTCACAGACCATCTGGTCAAAGAAAGAAAGTTTGTGTGAAATTTCCAAGCTATGTGTGCTTTTGTTTTTTTTTTTTTATCTGGAAGAAAGCATTTGTAAGAACTTGCTGAGGGTTTTCTTCTGCCAAAATAAAAGAGTAAAATTCAAGTGGTAGAGGCTTTTGTTTACTTGTTACTTTCTTCCAAGCAATCCCCAGAATGTTAAAATGGGAATGTATTTTAAAATGGAAAAAGTGGACAGAATATGCATTATGACTCTGATCAGATTGCTATTCCTGTTGCAGTCATCTTTCTGAAAGCCCTGAAGAGGACAGTGGCTGCTTTTGTCCTGTTCACTCTGCTGTTAACAGCCTCACTGTAGCCATGCTCTGCGTGGCACTTGGTCTGTCTTATCGAGTCACATGCTTCTTGCCTGAACTTCTGGCACTTGGTTCTAAGATAGTATTAATTGGACTAGCATACATAAAAATGGAGATCTTATGCAGATTTCACAGTAAGTAGATGGTAATCTTGAAATTACGGTAATTCTAGTTGCTCTGCTGTTAGAACACCGCTGAATTATTCGGTAAAACTGTCTTTTTAATTCCTCTTTCAGTTACTGTCATTACAGTCAGAGTTGCAGTTCAAAGATGCAGAAATGAATGAATTAAGAACACGACTTCAGAACTGCGAAAGAAATAAACATGTTACTCAGACGGCTTTAATTGCAAGGTATGAGTTTTGGAAAATTTGTGTTCCTTTTTTTTACAATATGTGTGCTTAAACTACTACAGAGGTTTTCTTTTTCCGTGTAACTCTTAGCTCCGTTTTCTTGAAAAAATACAACCAAAAAAAGTCTGTTGACCTCTGTGGAAAAGGCTCTTAAAAAGAGCTTTGCATGTCTCTGTGACAGAAATGCAAAGTGTTTATAGTGAAGTACCTTTAAAACATCAATATCACAAAAGCTAATAAATAGAGCCTTGTTTATTGTTTAATAAAATAATTACGAAAGAAATATTGATTGATCTAAGTGTTGGATTTTTATCATAGTCCGAAGAAGAATTTTGCAATACAAGTGAAATCAGAAGCATGTTCTCCGCAGCCTGGAAAAAGACCTTTTCCTACAAAGGAATCCTTCAGTGCTGAAACATCCACTAGACCATCGTGTTCTTCGGGAAATTTGATTGCCCCGACTACCTCAATCAAAGAAGGTAATCCCATGTACAACTTGCAATGTTTTTAGCTGCACATAAACATTCTGCCTTAGATAACGATTTTTGTACTATGTGACTGAACAGCTCAGTAAGTTCACTGTAGAGAAAAATAAGTATTTGTTTTGGTTTTGCTTAAATTTCTTTCCATTTTATAGCATTTTAAACGGCGTTCAACAGCTATGACTTACATCTGAATCAAGATCATTTTAATTTACACCTCGGTAATACCTATATGCCAGATGCCAAGATGTCAACAATGAAGTGTCTGTTGGCTGTAATGAAAAACTTTCATTTATTATGTGGTGAACTAAAATATCCAAATTATTAAGAACAGGAAATAATTTGCCTGTTTCTTGAATTGGTCTGCTAGTCAGCTAATCCGTTTTTTTTTTCTATTTCTGTGGGTTTGGCTTTAAAGCTGACCTTTTTACTTTTATTTTAAATGGTACATACTTAGCCATATTAAAAGAAACAACCGAAACAGTTTAATCATTTCCTCTTTTATGTGTAGAGCAGTAATTCTCACAAAATTGTATCTTGAAATTCATTGAGTAAGGCTTAGGAAACGAATATATGCTAGAAGATTACTAGAATATGAAATAAAAATGGTAGTTTTTTTATAGCAGCCAACTGCCATGTTTCCATAGGAAATAATAAACGGAAGAAATTTGGATATCATCAACTCATCCTTACAGGAAGAGATGAAAAATCTGACATGTTACTGTCAGTTACAGTATTCAGTCTGAAACTGTATGGGCAGTATGAACTCCACCAAAAAGAAAAATTCAGTAGCCTTAAAGCCTTTGCTATTGATTCAGCCCCCTGTCAGACCGTTATGGTAACAACACTCAATACACCCTTGTGTTTGAAAAACACACTTGATTATTTGTCTTCTGAACCCTGCAAGGCTTTTGTCTTCAGTTTGGATAGTGAACGTGTCATATATAGCTGGCTGAAGGATTATGAAATGCTCAAATATATATTTTTTTAGAATTTTATGTTGATTTTTAACTAATGTGGTCATGTAAATCTCTGCTAGTAGTGGGAATTCAACCTCAGGTATTGTGTTTTTTTCTAAAAGAAAAGTAGAGAGCAATAGCACTGAACAATCCGTGGAACATTAGACAGTAAAGGTGAAATTTTATTCACTTTTCTAATTTATTTTGGGGAGCAATTGCACTCGCATCACAGCTCTTAACTATAATATTGTTTGACATGTCGGAGTTTTAGAAGACGAATGTTTTTTACTGGTTTACTGTCTGTTTACTCACTACGTAACAGCTATGGCTAACTGAATGTGTGTAAAGGATAGACACAGATGTATCTTTGCAATGTAGTTCTCCTATTAGAATTGTGATTACTGCTTGTTTCAGACAGTAAGATAACCCATCCTGAAGTTGTATCCGTGAAGCACGAAGCAATGGGAAAAAACGGTTCTTACAACTCTGTACATAAACGAAACACACAAGGTAACTTAATTCTATTAATACAGAAGTACTGAGTGTTTCTTGAGGAACAGCTCAGACACCTTTACTAAGCAGTGTCATGCTGAGGAGCCCACTACGTAAAGTCTCACTACACAGAATAGTGGTGTTCAGCGAGTCACTTTTTGCTATGAATATTGTGATTTTGCAGTAAAGCATTTCAGATCCTATTATTTTATCTTCTATCACGGGACAATATTTTTACCTTTTCACCTTGTTATTCTATTTAAGAAAAAAGTTAGCCTGGGTTTTGCTTTATGGAAGGATAAGGATCAAGAAGCATCTTACTACAAGGCTGGCTCTTTCAGTATTAATATGTCACACTTTTTATGGTAAACTGATGTAAAATACAGGAAGAATGTACTTTTTTTTAAAAAAAAAATGATGGTAAAAACAATAAAGCAACACTTAAAACAGTCAACACCAGGAAGTCTTCAGGGTACTATTGTATTTCCAATTCAGAATAGAACTGCATCACATAATTGTAATGTCTGGACTGGAACATGGAGGGCAAGTCATCAGGATAGTTGGGATTTATGATCACTCGGCTTGAGATACTTTGCTAATATCAGATTGTAATTAAAATATCTCTAAATATAATTTGGTTAATATTTAAATTATATCTTAAATTCATCTTTCCTGAAAATAATTCTCTTCTAGAGAATGATTCTCTACAAGAATTCTCTCTTGTAGAGAAAGAATTGTAGTGAAAAAAATATTTTGAGGTTGAGAGCACTATAAATTAGGCTAATCTTTTGAAATATTAACTTTTTGTTCTTGTTGATGTTGCAGTTGATTATGCAGACAATTCTGTGTCCTTTCAGGTTCTATATTACTAAATGCACTGATGAAGCAGCCCATTGTCCCTGGGTCGTTATTAGGACTCTGCCATCTTCTTAGCAGTAACTCTGAGCCTCTACCTGGAGCTATATTGCAGCCTAACTATTTGGATACGTAAGTTTTTGGTTTGTTTTGGTTTTTGTTAAACTGTATATGACATGTTCTTAGTATAGTGGCATTCTCCATACTATGAAATGCTTACCCATGTAGGATAGCTCACTCCTTGTGTTAAATGCTGTTTTGTTTAGGCCATTTAAAGCAAAATTTTGAATATCATTCTGCATCTTTGATTATCATAGATACTAAACAGTGGAAAAACACTAAGAGATAAACTAGGTTAAGTATATATTTGGGGAAGGCACAGAAACATGTTTTCTAAAACATGGGAATGACTGTTAGCAGCTGCTGTTAGACATTTCAGGACATAAAACTTGCATTGCAATGAGAGGAGCATATAAACATGATTACGAGTTAAGTCAAAGAAAATGTTGAAAATGTGATCAGAAGAACAGTAGGCTTTATGTCTAAACTATGTTCAATTTGTAATGTGCAATTTATATGCAATTTTCCAAGATAACAGTGACCTGTAAAGCATTTTAAATAAGAATATTGGATACAAATGATAATCGATTTTCACTTTGAAGAATTAGATTGTAGCTCCTGAAATACCTTTGCTTTTTTGATATGTTATTTTATTAGTAATTCTTGTGGTTTATGGGTTTATAGCAAGGCTCGTGTCATTGCCCTTGCCGTTTGTGCAAGCAGAGGTGGTGCATTTGGCCTTTGTAGCTGCAGTCTGACTAGTCAATAGCTGAAGTCTCTTCAAAGAAGGAATGCTTTGAAATTGCTCTTTCATGAAGGTATCAAGAAGTAGAATTTTTTTTTTTCCTCCTCCCAATTTACGTTTTATTTCAGGAACAGACATCTCTTATTACTCTAGCCTTTCTATTATTTGATTCAGAATATGGATAACTCAAATTTCAGCTACGTTCTCTGCCTTTTTCTTTTGATGTATTTCCCTTCTTTTAATTTTATTTGGATAGGAAATCCACACAGCAACCCAGCAGCAGGACAACTCAAGAAGAAATTGCTCCTCTTGTATCCCTGCGAGAAGCTCAAAAACTTGCAATAACAGGCTTGAACTTGATTGCTATGGATGAAAGATTATCTGAAGGAATCCCAATGGAAAGCCGGAGAGAGTTCTTGCACCTCACGTGCTGCAAGATCCGAGGCGCCGTGCACCTCCTGCCCTTGGTAGAACACCATGTTGGTGCGTACTGCCAAGCGGTACAATTGTCGGACAAATCAGTAAACAGTTCTTGTGGAAACCATTCAGGTGTTTCTTCCAGAACCAACACAAATATGGCGTCAAGTAAAGAGGACTTCAGGTTGCCTCTTGAAGAAACTACAGTTATATCACTGGGTATTCTTTATTATTTGGCGTTTTATAGCTGGGATGTTGTCCACACATTGCTATCTACTGAAATGGAAAAAAGTTCTGCTGCTGGAGATGAACAGGTTTCCAAGACGGACAAAAACGTCTTGTGTGATAATAAAGAAGACACCAGGACGCAAGGAGGATTGCCCATAGCTCCACAGGATGTTCCCAATAACGATCGAGTTCAACATTCTTTGTTTAAAAAGCTGCTTCAGGTTTTAGCTTTTTCTGCTGCAAGAGGCTCCCAGAACGATAGTATACTGAACCAAAGCCTTAAAGTTTTGGTGAAATTAGCTGAAAACTCAACAATGGACTTGCTAATAAAGTAAGTCAGTAACAGCTTTAAAATTATTTCAGACTCTGTTTACCAGTTTTCATTCTCTGTTGAAACTAATTTGTGCAGATGACAGTAGAAGTTTTGACGCGTGGGAGAACATCAGGCTTCTCAGATCAACTTTGAGAAGCAGTTCAGGATCTTTCTGCTGCCCGTGCTGCTAATGAATGTGATAATCACCCCCATCAGTAACAACATTTGCTTATGATGTTTATATGAAGCAGATGCTGTTGCCTTATTGCACAGCTGTCACTTGAAAGTGAGAAAACTTAAGGCCGTATGCAGTTGATGAAAACATCTGTAACGTTCATTGTGGGTTTTTTTGCGATGGCTGGGTGATCCGTAAGGAATGAAAGCACAGGATCTCATACTGGTAGGTAAAACCCCACTCTCAAAAGCGAGACATTTCGCCTGCTGATGGTCCAATATATGCAACCAAATCATGAATTGCAGACTGACTGCCAAATGTAACAGAGTATGTTTTTCAGGGTACTTTTTAGTTATGACACGTAAGTTGAGATCAGGTATGTTCTGAATGGCTGAAAGGCACAAATTATGATGCTGTGTACAAGAAATAGTGTATTTTCAACTTGTCAGTGCATTTCCCATTTCTAAATATGAGTTTTCTTTTGAAGTTTTCAGCACTTACTGAGTAGCCAGACACTGCTCCGTTGTCTCTGTCCAGAGACCCCTTTGCCTGCTGCCCTTCTGACTGTGAGACTGTTGTCTATTCTTGCTCAACACCACATGCTGGTTGCTCAACTTTGTTCTCATTCAGGTAAAAGAGTGCATAACACACAACTGTTATCAGTTGAATGTTAGTTAGGTGACTAGAAGTAATGCAAATAGGCCTTGCTCCAAGGTGTTAAAACCCCAAAAGGCAAAAGCCTGCTATGGTACTTGAAACCTTTTTTTTTTCTAGTGCAGTGTTTCAGTTCTTGTTTGAAGAGCGTTTTCTATCTGTCTGTCTACATATAGTGCTTTTGGTACCCCTCTGGATTTTAAAAATTACTTTCCAGATTAATGTTTATTATATTAAAGGTTGATGAGCAAAAAAGGTCTATTGAGGAGTTTTGAAGTTTAATTTATCTGTGCTCATGACACCGTTGAGTTTAGGGATTCCAGTATTCTGCATGATAAACAGTCTTTGTCCACTTTCTTATGAATGAAGTAGGACAGTATTACCACAAACATATATAAAGTTTAGGGATACTAGTTTCTTCAGCACTGCTTAAGATGTCTGAAGTGAAACAAGAAGTTGAGCCTGTATCATGAGTCCCAGGATAGCACTCTATGTATTTTCTGAAATGTTTTTTTTTTGTGTGTGTGACATTAATTTTTGTCATAAACAATTGACTAGTTGGGAAAACAATAAAGTAATCTCTGTTTCAGACACCTGCCTCCTTCTTGCACTGTACATGTATATTACATCAAGACCAGATAAATCAGCATCTGAAGTGCTTTGGCTTCAGCTGGAACAAGAGGTAACCACAGCTGTATGTTCACAAGCTTTTTCCTGCTATTTTCAGTTGGGGAACTCGGAGGAGCAGGGCAGCGCACAAATTGTCCAAAACCAAGTTCTTTCTCCAGGTGAAATAGAACACTGGAAGTACTGGCTTGCAGTAAGGAGTTACATTGATCTTTAAGAGTAGCTGCTTGAAACTGAATCAGTAACTATTCTTAAAGAGAACATCAGATGTAATAGTCATAGTTAAGTCACTGAAAAGGCAAAAAAGATCCTAGGGTGGCTGTAAATGTCCAATGCTGAGCTTTATTTTGCTTTTAGATCGACAGAGGAGCAAAAGGAAGCAACATCTATGAGTCCTTTTGATTGTAACAATTACTTCTGAACTGTATCTTACGAGTTATTACATATGAAAGGCCGTCCGTAGCAACTTAGGATGACATCATTGTATCAAGTGGAAATGCTAGCTCGCTGTAAAATAGTCATGATTAAATATAGGAGGAACAGCTTTTGAATTTAATTTAGATTGTACTGACAGTAGTGACTTGTTTGAGGTTCCACCATTTACTCCACTCTGCTCTCATTTGAAGGAATTTTGAACCATTTTTCATTATCCCCCTACCTACATTGTTATATTAAGTGTAACCATATTATTTGTATGCAGTGAATTAAGGCCCGCTGCTTTTTGTTAGCCCTTCTCATCAGAAAGTTGAAAAGGTTTCTGTGCAAAGCAAATTCTACGTCTGTAAAGTTCTACAGGGAAAAACAATTTTTTGGGTAAAAAAGATAAACTGTTAAGAAAAAAAAAACAATAATATCTGAAGCTAGTAATGAAATACCATTTCTGCCTCCCTTTATTTGCAGCTTTAATTGTCTGATAGTACTCATTATAACACAGTCTGCATGTTTTTGTAATAGACAGTCAGACTCCTGACGAGGTGTACGCGGTGTTCCAGTCCAGGGGTTTTGTTACCTGGTACAGACTGCCAGTGTAACCTCGAGGTATGTCACTACAGAGGCTGAGTTCAGTCTACTGAGAACTTACAGGTACTCCTAACAATGCTGAAATAGCTTTTTGCCCTTTTCTTAGTTACAGTGAAACAGAAGCGTACTGTACTTTAACGGATGCCACCTTCTAGGAAGCTTGCTTCTGCTTGCTAGAAAATATTCTGTAATGGGGGAGTTTGAAGAGATTAATCAGGAAAGTTCAGAATGAAATACGTTTTCTGCTACTGTAGTTTTACTTTGTGGACTGAAGCACTTTTTTTCCTCTTGCAGGTGGTTAAGGCATTAATTATAATGTTACACAGACAGTGGATGAAGATTAGAAGATCTGAAAACAGCTTGTGTGCATATAAGGAACAAATTATTCAGTTTTTACGGGATGCGGTTTTACTCTTACACAGCCTGTCTCAGAAAGATAAACTGTTTCACGAACACTGTTTGGAAGTTCTCCATCAATATGACCAAGCCATGCCAGGCATAAGAGCCATTCTCAAAAAGACTCAAAAATTAAGTGCCTGTGAAGGTAAAACCAGTCAAATGATAATAACTGGCTTTTTTTCATGCTGTAGAAATAGAATTCCACTTCTGTCCCTTTCCTCATTTGAGCAGCACCATTTACCAAATACCATCTCAAACTTCATTATACTGAATCACTACTCTACTCCTCTTAACAGTTTTATCTTGGTCTTCTCTCCATAGAAATATGCCCCTACTATCTTATCAAACAAAATCCTATACTCCATCTCTCTTTAGTAGAACAATCTGCACTATATGTCACCTTATTTAAAACACGTATCTAAAGATCTGTTTGCATTGAACCTTGAAAAATGCCATTTGCTGTGGCCTTCTACAGTCAGTATGTTTTAAAATGCAAAGAGATACTAGCTATAATTATACTATGTCAAGTAGAAAAAAACATGTTTTTTCTGTTGTTGCAGAGCTGATTTTGGATGACTTGTATCCTCCTGAGCCAGAAGCAGAAGACCAAGGAATGGACTCCAGCTAGCTAACATCTAGCAAAGATCTCTGTCTTTCCTTGTCTAAATCATCATAATCATTGCCAGTGTAATCTGAAATTTAAATCATCTATTTTATTAAGTGATAATCTAAAGATTGCACTCAAATGCAGCACAAGACATTTCTTTGTTGCAATTATTTTATTTAAGCACCATCTTGATGTAGCTGAAAGAAATTTTGATGTAAGAATTATACTGCAATGTACTGTTTTGCTGTGCAAAACCACTCAGTGGCTTATGACTGGTTCTGTTTATGAATTTCATCCTTTATGAAATCGCTGTGAAGCAAATGGAAATTTCACTATTGTGTTCTCCATTTTACTGTGACTACAGCTGAATTTGTGATGCTGCATGTGCTGAGATGTTTGGGATCGGTCTTTTGAACGTTTCTTTTGCAGCTGTAACACTTTCTTGCTTGACTTTCAAAATTTTCATGTTGATATTAGTAAAGAGTTTACTGTGATTTTAAAAACCTTTCTAGAAATAACTTATAGTTGGCAGTTCAGTTCTAAGCAAGAAATTCAATGCACTGTAATAATCACCTGACTCCACCCATTTTTCTCAATTTCATGAATCTGCTGAAAGTGTAACTACAGAGATACCTAAACAAAAAATACTATAAGTTCTTCTTGCTTTTTTTAAAAGTTACCTTAGAATGCTCTCCTCAACATTACCATCTTCTTCTATCTTACTAGGTGAGAAGGATATTTAAATGTATGCAGAATGACTGGTTTTTTTTGGTTGTAGTATCTGGATAGGTACTGCAGTGAAGATGAATGAGCATCTCCAGCACTGATGACTGGAGGAACTGTTGCTATACCCTTTCAAATGTGTGTGATTATCAGCTGTCACTCAGCTACAGGTATCAGCTGAACCTTGGACCCTAAAAGGGCAAGTGTTGAGTGCTACTAAAATGAGCCTACAGTTTGTATTCTTACATAATTTGGAAAGTTTTTTTCATTTTTGACAGATGCTTGATTCAGCTGGCTCCAAGGACCAGGAGGAGCAGGAGAGACAGTACTACAGTGGGAAGGCAATCCTTGGAAAACTGGCAAACATCCAGTTCTCTGGTCATAACCCAAAGAAGCTGTGTCCCTGCCCTGGTGTGCCTGGGCAAAGAGCCCCACTCCAGTGGGCTGAACAAGCTCTTGACTTGGCTTTCACTTTTGAAGAGAACTTTCCCAGAAACAGCTATGCAGGAATAATCAGTGTAATAATCCAACATCTCCCTAGGGCTAGACCTCCTTGGTACAAAGCTTCACTCCTTCCTCCTACAACACCACCTCTTCGTTTCTGTAGAACACAAGCTGCCAGATGCTCCTCTCATAACAGGTTTCAAGTCCCTTGTAGCCTCTGGACAACTGCTGTTTTCCTGCTTACATGCAGCCAGGACACACAGGTACTTTGAGTCCATGTATGCTTGTGTGGTAACGACCCTAGAACTGCCACCAGGGCACTGGACAAGACATGCTACAGAAGTTTCGGTGTGACAAAACCGTTTGACTTGTTCACTTAAAAAAAAAACAACACACAAAAAAAAGCCCACACAACACAGCACTTCCTGGCCTTTACGATTAGAGAGGAGAGCTTGAGAATGTCAGTTAAATGCCCCTTCCAAAATAAACATTAAGATAATTCTTAAAAATAGCCCTGTGAGCACGATCAGTGGTAAAGCAGTACCTGGCAGTTAGCCTGCTGTGAGTGGCAAACTTAGAGCTGTCCTAACAAAGATAGGATAGTCACACTATCCCAAAATGCTGTGACCTGCCATCACTTTTCAACTGCTTTATGCTGTTCTCACCACCTAATTTCTCTAAACATAATTCAAGTTTAGAGAGATAAAGATGCATTTATTCTCCTTTGGGTGAATAGACCAAATGAACTGTTAAGAGGAGTCTGGATGAAAACCAGTTAAGGAATCCCAAGTTGTTGAAACAATCCAAACTTAAAACAGTGATTGAAAAAATTCTTGGCATCGTGTAAAGGGCGTGTGTATGGCAACTTGGTACAAGGAAGAAGTGTATTACTGCTAAACTTAATATAAACAGAAGTGTTATCTATGGGGAAAAACTGCTAGGAAAATACCCCTAACTGTTCCTTTCTGGCACTGCATCCCCTCCCATCCACCCACTCTAACAGACAACACCCTAATGTGTACTTCTACAGTCTGTTTGTTCCCACTTTTGGCTTTACAGTGGTGTAGGCCAGGCTATAAACACACAAACAAACCCAAAATCCTACACCTTCACCAGTAGAAATGACAGTAACATCACAGTATTATGAAATTAAACCGTAGCTTTTAAAAATCAAGGCATTTTCTGTAACTGAAAAGTTCATGCTCCTAAGGAAAAATGAGGCTGCGCTCCTAAAGACATAAGTATACTTACAGAACTACCATAATTCATTGGGGTTTTTTTTGTCATTTACAGTGATCAGTCTTTTGTCAGGATTATTGCACAATTGCACTGACCTTCAGTAATTCCTCCCTTTTTTACATTCTCTTGGGATTTCTCTTGCCATTAAAGAGATCCAATCATGTCTGCAACAGCTGATCATCCCCTGAAAAAACGTGAAGCTTTTTTTGCAATTATGGGGCTACTGGTTTACTATTTTCATGACTTAAGAATAACAGAACTTTAGACTTTTCTAGAACTTTAGACTTTTCTCATCAGACACTCCTTGAAGAATTCAGAGAGTAGCAGCTCTTTTTGCAAGGCCAGTTTGCATTTTCCCAACATGTTATAGATAAGCTGTGCCTCTGTATTAACTGAGAAAAAGAATTTACTCTGGCATCAAGCAGAGTCACAGGACTGAATAATGAAGTATTGAGAACCACTAGTCATGTTCTATACATGATTATCACATTCCTCAGTCAGCAGCAGCCATCCCATCTGTTTTCTTGCCCATGGAAACCAGTTTCCCCTTTGCTGAAAGCTGAGCTAAGTATATCTGGCTTTTCCTCCTCAATGAACTGTACTGAGGAGGCAGCAGGTGGATGAAGAAAACCATCACCTCTACTAGCATACCCATTACTCAGACAACTTTATGGAAAAAGGAGGATGATAGCCTTGCTGAGATCCACTGACACTAGCCCTTGAACAATGGCAGAGCAGGAGAGGGTATCATTGCATCGACGAGCATCTTCAAGGACCTGCAGCACTGCATGGATTCAAACACACAGCAGTTTATTCCTGCTAAAGCTATGTACAGAGATAAAGTAAATGATGCTTCATTGACTAAAATATTTAGGGAATTTGCACAGGTAACACCTCATTTTCTACAACTTGTAGAATCATTGACACTTGAGGTCGGAAGGGGCCTCTGTAGGTCATCTAGTCCAGCCCTCACTCAAAGCAAACTTCCACAGACAAGACAAAACTGTTTTGTGTCATGTCAGGCCTCAAAACACATTTTTATAAACCAAGCTGTAATAGGTGAAGATAGAAAATACAAAATACCTCACCATGTGGCATGCAACATCTGGCCTGAGTTTTTATTCATATTAATCCCACTAGTGCAAACTACTGCTTAAGAAAGTTTAGCCTGTGCCAGACTATTATAACAGTAAGTTATTTTGAACAATGTTTTTTATATTAGTTGCAGTTAATTAAGGTCAAATGCAGCAGTTCTGATCAGCCTGTGTAAAGTCTGTGTACTATATGCTGTGAATGTAATAGCGAAGGCAACCTTACATCTACAGTGTAAATGGATAAAAGTAAAAATACATCACTGATTAGAGTTTAGCAGGCTGATAAGGAAAAAGGTGGTCTGTGAGCTTTATAAAGACCTACAAACCCACTGTGGCCGAAGTTTATCAAAATGCTTCCAAGAGTGAGGCCCAACAACACGTTCAGTATGAGGTTTAACTGTGAACAGCTAGCAACGTGCTAAGCACCTTGTCCCTGCAGCAGGTATGTACAGGTCACCTTGGACTAACCTTAGAAGTTTTTGCCCTAAAGCTGGTAAGTGAAATAGTGCTCTGAATAGCTGCTCAAGTGGTAACTTCCTTTTGCAAAACATCTAGAGGAAACAGCTAGTTTATTTTCATCTTGGTTATTATATTCCAACCACAGAACTGCAGAGTATCCTAACAGAGATAACATAGAACAGCAATTTTTTGTTTGTCTATTCATTAATCATATAGTAGGTTGGTATTCTGAGAGAATAACTGAACAATTTGTTTTGCTGAAGACCTCCTTAACAGCACAGCTGCGCCGCAACACCTGTCCAGCAGTCTGTAAAGCAGATCCTACCCGATTCCAGGGCCAAAGTAACATCGGAGAGTGAATGACAAAAAACAACTGCAGGAGCAAGAAATGTTAGAATGCAAAGTCACCAGTAGCTGATTCAAAAGTTATTTTAACAGCAGTAAGAGATATGAGTTATCAGAGGTTAATTTACACATATCTTGAACTGTTCTTCACTCTAGCGAAACAGACACTTGACTTGTCCATTTGCAGGAGAGGAAGGAAACCGAGATGGAAATGGCAGCACTTCCAAACCCACACAGTGCACTGCAGCCCCAGGGGAACCAGAGAGGGTCCACATCAGGCAGAGCCTCCTCGCTACCCAGTATTGACAAAAGTAGTTAGTTGTGTCCCAAACCTAAAGAAATCACTTTACAACAGGAGAACATCCTTCATAACATGGCTAACTCACCCTTAGTGCTGACTGCCATAAAAAGGAGAAGCAGAGACTATTCCAACACAGCTGCCTGAGCTCTTGAAAGGATAAAATAACTTATTTTCTTCAGCTTTATCTCACCCCTAACAGGTTTAATTCAGGTAAATTTTTCCGCTCCTATACAGCTTGCTTCAAAGCTGTAAATCTGACCAGGCTCCTGTGATGTAGGCTATCCTAACAAGTAGGTGAGGTCAAATAGTAACCAGAGAGAAAAACATAAGCCCCAAACTGTCTAAAGCAAACCTGGCAAGTTATCATACATGCCTAGATATGATACTAATTTTCCATACTTGGAGGGGAGCGGGAG